TCAATTAAAAAATTTTTAAAGTCAAGTATAGTTACAGAAACCCCCAGGAGCAATTCTACTCTGCCCTATAGGATTGCTATGAGTTCGAATCAAGTTGAGGGTAAGGAATTGTTTTGTTTCTTGTTTTGAGATGGAAGTTAGACATAAAGGCTTGGACAATAAAATTTCAAAAAGAATTACAGTACTATCAAATGCCTCTGCACCACTTCTTGAAATGGAAATAATTCATAAAAGGAAAAGCTAGTCAGCAAAATAGTGACTACAAGTCTATAAGCCAAGAATTGTTCACATAGCTATAAGTGTTTATACTTGATCAGTGTTTATATGCTCATAATTTATAGGTACAGCATGTCTATATATACTGTTAGGGAGCTCTGGTGGTAGGCATGGTGGGTTAGGCATTGGGCTGCCAAGCACAAGGTCAGTGGCTGAAACTCACCAGAGGCTCCACAGGACAAAGTTAAGGCTACTCTCAAAGATTTACAGCCCTGGAAACCCTATGTAAGGCCGCTGTGCATGGGAACCATTACAATAGTAGTGGGTTTGGGTTCCATGTATACCGTTTATGGTGTTTATTCTGGAGTTTTGCAATTGTCCCAAGAAGCATGTCTTCAAGCATTACTTGAACGACTTTTTAAAAGAAGGCAGAAAGGTTATTCAGGGAGGTGGCAGGGCAGAACACCAAGGATTTGTGTGGGGGGGGGTGGGTAAGGGGAACAGAGAGACCTCTGGGAAGGACAGTGGTGGCTATGGAGATAGGGGTGGTCGGTGGCATGAGGCACTCGGTGACAGAGGGAGAGGCGAGTGTGGCAGAGGGCACTCATCCTCTCTTCCATCCAGAGTCCAGTCGTCAAAACCGCTCTCTTGTTGTTTCCAGTAAAGCTTATAAAATTCCATTTCAAAACAACCTGACACCAAATTTAAGTGTGCTATCACTTTGATGATATTTACAATGCATTCAAGAAGGGTTCAAAGCAAAGAGGTCAACTGGTTGTCTTTAGGAGAGAGTAGGAATGACTGCCTTCCTACCTCAGCTCGTCCATTTCCCCCATTTTCTACTGTAACTATGTACTGTTCTTTAAGATCAGAAAAGATCACTTTGCAAAATAAATTCCATACTATGGTAGAAATAAAGACTATGTTCCCTTAATAATCTCTGACCTGAGAAGACTGTCTGTCCAATAAATCTGTGCTAAACCACCACCAACAAAAACCACCAGTTTTGCCCTATCAGTTCCAACTCATGGTGGCCCCATGCATGTCAGAGTGGAACTATGCTCCGTAGGGACCTCATGGCTGTGAGCTTTCACACGCAGACTGCCAGCCCTTTCTCCTGCAGCATCTCTGAGTAGGTTTGAACAGTCAATCTTTCTGTTAATGGCTGGGTGGTTGGCCATGGGTGCCCCCCAGGGGCTCAAAAAAGGTGTAATGGCCTCCCACTCTTGTTTAGCTCTTCTTTGCCTGGCTGTGAGTCCCCTTGCTCCTCAGTTAAGGGTAGGGAGCACAATGGAGCTTGAGATGGAATCAGGTGGTCACCAGAAGGAAGAAAAAGTCTTCCTGTGCTTTCCTGGATGACACTGATTGTCTCCCCACTTTTGAATGGCCTCCCATCATTCCTCCCCCACCACTGCGTCTGTACTTGGCTCTTTGTCCTGTTCCTGCCCCGACTCCCTTCCCTACTCACCATTCCGGTCCCCCCACCCAATTTCTCCTCTTTTCTTCCCACCAAGTCAGCCCTGTGGTGGTGGGAGAGAGAAGCAGGATGGACAGGGAAGGGCTGGGGCAGACAGAAACCTTCCATATCTGTGGGTGACCAGGGCCAGGCTCAACTTTGGGTCAACGGTGGTGGCTGGCTACAGAGAAAGTAAGCAAAACAGGATAAAAATCAATGTCAACTTTATATCACTCATATAACTCAAACTCTCAAGATGATCTCCTGAACATGGATGGATGCCCCAGGGGGTAAAGTGCCATCATGAGCATAAGAAATAGCCCCCATAGTCTATTATTTACAAGTTACTGCCCAGAATGTCAATATAAACAGGATCAGATTCCAGAAAGTTAAAAACGTTTTTTTAAAGAGCTTTCTTATAAAATATCCTGCTAGGAGACCACATCACCCCCTTTTTTCCCACTAGGATAAAGGCTGACAAAGGTCTTAGGCCTGTAGGCACAAGACCTACAAGAAAACGACTCGGATGGTGGGCTTCCCAGGGGACTCTTCTTCCCCACAACTTCTAATCCATTGGAACCGGGCTGGAATCACTCCGGAAGACGTCATTTCCGCCCAGCACAACCTCCTGTGACTGCCCTATAAAGCATCAGTGGATTGAATTCATGTTCAAGTGAATGAATGGGGGGCGGGGCGCAACCCTCTGCTGGGTGCTTACCTCTTCTGGTTCATGGATGCCACCTGCAGCCACCCGTTAGTGCAGGGGTTGTAGGAATGCGCAGCGGAGATCTCCTGGCTGGTGATCCGGTAGCCGCCCACGATGAAAAGGTAGTTGTCCAGGATGGCGGAGCCATAGCCCCTGACATTCACCAGGTCTGGCGGAAGGTTGTTGGCCAGCGGGAACCAACGTTCCGTCGTCTCCTCATACCTGAGCATGGACTGGGGCTCACCCTGGTAAGGATGCGGGGCCAGGGGCCCCCCCAAGAAGTCCCCTAAGGCCACGAGGACCGGAGTGCCAGTCATCCGGACCTCCCTGAGCCTCTGCTGGAGGCTGACACCCCCCGGTGTTGGGGGCGGAGAGCCCAGGAGGTGGAAGTGGGGCATGCGCAGCACCTCGTGGAAATGGGTGCCCATGAAGCGCACGCAGGCCTCCTGCAGGTCGGCCAGGCCGTACACCTGCGCCAGGCGGTACAGCTCCAGGCAGTTGTCGAGCCGCACCTGGGACAACAGCAGCTGCAGCAG